CCAGGCGCCCCAATTTTTAGCAATATTTTTAAATTAAGATATGCACATTGCTGTTTTAGACATAGTGAATGTTATTGCACACTTAGGCTCGAGTATAGTGGAAACATGACTTTTATATGTACTAGGAGACATTCATTAGACTTGATTTATTGTGATACTCACTGTATTGCACTGGTCTGGAACTGAAATTGCAGGATCACTAAGGTATTCCTGTATTTTTTTTTTAATGGATGTGTCCCGATTAACTTAATGCCATAACTGATGAATCCAGTAGCATTATGGACAATGCAGTCATGAACATTTTATATATGTGTGTGTGTATATATATATATATATATATATATATATTTTTCAATCAAAATATTTGTATAATACAAAATGCAGAAATTATAAATATAGCTTGGTGAAACCATCAAAAAATAAATGTACGCAGGAAATACCTCCCACCACAAGAAATAGAACAATGCCAGCATCCCAGAAGCCTCCCTTGTGTCCTTCCCAATCACTCTGCTTTCCCTCTTACCCAGTCTTAACTGCTGTTCTGATATCTAGCACCATAGATTATTAATGCCTGTTTTTACACTTTATATGCATGTAGTCCTGCAATATATCTTTTTTTAAAACTATTTATTTATTTGAGAGAGGGACAGAGAGAGAGAGCACAGTGGGGTGAGGGGCAGAGGGAAAAGCAGACTCCCTGCCGAGCAGGGAGCCCGATGCGGGGCTCGATCCCAGGACCCTGGGACCATGACCTGAGCCGAAGGCAGACGCTTAACGACTGAGCCACCCAGGCGCCCCCCTACAATATATCTTGAGTGTGGCTTCTTTCTCTCAGCATTATGACATTGATTGATACTATTTTAGCATTGGTTTGTTCATATTAATTGCTATGTATTCCATTGTGTGAGTATATGGTTATTTTTTACTCAAGTATAATATAGTGTTATATTAGTTTCAGGTGTACAGTATAATGATTCAACAATTCTATATATTTCTCAGTACTAATCGTAACAAGTATACTCTTAATCCTCTATCTATTTCACTCATAGCCCCACTTACCTCCCCTCTGGCAACTATCAATTCTATGGATTTTAAGAGTCTGTCTCTTTTTCCTTTGTTTCTCCATGTATTTGTACTTTCCAGATTTTTTTCTTACGGTTGATTTCTAGTTGCATACTGTTGTGGTTGGAAAAGATACATGATATGACTTCAGTCTTGTTGAATTTGAGACTTGTTGGCCTAACATGTGATCTGTTTTGGAGAATGTTTAATGTGCACTTGAAAAGAATGTGTATTCTGCTGTTTTAAGATGGAACCTTCTGAATATATCTGATAGCCCCATCTGGTCCAGCATGTCCTTCAAAACCACTATTTCCTTATTGATTTTCTGTCTGTCTGATCTGTCCATTGATGTAAGCAGAGTGTTATACTCCCTTACTATTATTATATTATATCAATTACTTCCTTTGCGTTTATTATTAGCTGTTTTATATATTTGGGTGCTATTGTGTTGGGTGCATAAGTATTTACATTGTTCTTTTTTTTTTTTTTTTTTTAAGATTTTATTTTTAAGTAATCTCTACACCCAGCGTGGAGCTTGAACTCACAACCCAGGGATCAAGAGTTGCATGCTCCACCATTTGCCAGATAAATGTTTTTTCATCCCTTCACTTTCAGTCTACATGTATATTTAGGTCTGAAGTGATTCTCCTTTAGGCAGCATGTAGATGGGTCTTGCTTTTTTTTTTTTTAATTAAGATTTATTTATTTAGAGAGCAAGAGAGAACCACATACGAATGGAGGGAAGGGCAGAATGAGCCATCTTCAAGCAGACTCCCTGTTGAGCAAGGAGCCTGGTGAGGGGCCCGATCCCATAATGCGTGAAATCATGACCTGAGCCAAAAGCAAGAATCAGACACTTAACCAGCTGAGCCACTCAGGTGCCCCACAGATGGATCTTATTTTTTGTCCATTCAGTCACCCTACGTTTTTTGAGTGGAGCATTTAGTCCATTTACATTGAAAGTAATTATTGATAGATGTGTACTTATTGCCATTTTGTTACATGTTGTATGTTCTCTGTTCCTTTCTTGCTCTCTATGATCACAGTTTGCTGGCTTTCTTTAGTGATGTACTTAGATTTCTTTCTCCTTATTTTTGGTGTATCAGTGGTTTTGATTTGTTATATTTAGGCTTATATTAACATCTTATGCATACATCTGTGTATGCATATGTTGATGGTTGCTTAAATTTGAACCCATTCTAAAAGCACTAAATTTTTACTCATCTCCCCCCATTCATTTTATGTATTATGATGTCATACTTTACATCCTTTTATTTTGTGAATCTCCTGACTGATTTTTACAGATATAATTGATTTTACTGCTTTACTTTAATCTCCATGCTGGTTTTATAAGTGATTAATCTACTTTTATTATGTTTATATATAACTGTGAAATTTTTTCCTATCCTAACTTTCTTATTCCTGATTATGGCCTTTTCTTAAAATTCAGAGAACTCCCATTAACATTTCTTGTAGGGCTGGTTTAGTGGTAATGAACTCCTTTAACTTTTGTCTGGGAAACTCTTCACTTCTCCTATTCTGAATGATAGCCTTGCTGGGTAGAGTATGCTTGGTTGCAGATTTTTTTTTTCCTTTCAGCACTTTGAATGTATGTCGCCATGCCCTTGTGGCCTGCAGAATTTCTGAAAAATCAGCTTCTAGCCTTTTGGGGTTTCCTTTGTATATAACTGCTGCTTTTAAAATTCTCTATCACCACTTTTTGCCATGTTAATTATGTGTTTTGGTGTGGACCTCCTTAGGTTGATTTTGTTGCGGTCTCTCTGTGCCTCCTGGATCTGGATTTCTGTTTCCCTCCCCAGGTGGAGGATGTTTTCAGCTATTAGGTCTTCAAATAAATTTTTTGTCCCCTTTTTTCTCTCTTCTCCTTCTGGGATCCCTATGATGCAAATGTTATTATGCTTGATGGTGTTGCTGAGTTCCCTTAACCTATTCTCATTATTTATTATTCTTTTTTCTTTTTGGTGTTCATCTTGGGAACTTTCCATTACTCTGGCTTCCAGCTCACCGATCCGTTCTTCTGTCTCCTCTAATCTGCTATTGATTTCCCTCTAGTGTATTTTTAATTTCAGTTGAGTCTTTCATCTGTGATTGGTTCTTTTTTATATTTTCTATCTCTTTGATGATGGTCTCACTGAGATCCTCCACTCTTCTCAAGTCCATCAAGTATCTTTATTACCATTACTTTGAATTCTTTTTTTTTTTTTTTTTTTTTAAGTAGGCTCCATGCCTAGCATGGACCCCAACGCAGGGCCTCAACTCAAGACGCTGAGATCAAGACCTGAGCTGAGATCAGGAGTCAGACACTTAACCAACTGAGCCACGCAGGTGTCCCCATTACTTTGAGTTCTTTATCAGGCATATTGCTTTTCTCCATTTCATTTAGCTGTTTAAAGGGCCAGTCTGGAGTTGCCATGGGATTGTAGTTGGGTGTTGTCAGCAGTCAGACCAGATCCCTGCTCTTAGCCTGTTTCCTGGGGCTGAGAGGTGGTTGGCGGGTGGGGCTGGCAGATCAGATGTCTGCCCTGAGTCCATTTGCTGGGGCTGTAGTTGAGCGGGTGTGTGTGGTTATCCTCTCCTATCTCCAGGGCAGGAGTCACTCTGTAGTGGTGGCTTATGGGGTGTATCGTGGCAGGAGCTGCTTTGGAGGGACTCCTGCCACTTGGGCATTGGATGAGCCAGATCCGCAGGAGAACATGGGAGCTGGGTGGTGGTAGTAAGGTAGGTGGTGGTGGGGGGTGGTGTTCATGCTGTTCCCAGAAGTGTCTGGCTATCTAGACTTGGGGGTGTGGGGAGAAATGGCTCCTGACAGCTCTTTTGTTTTTGGAGATGTCTCCTGAAGATCTCTGCCCCTCCAGCACAGGTTCGAAGATTAGTAAATAAATCTCCTTCCAGGTATACCCCAAGAGCTTTTCAAATTGCTGCTTCTTTGCTGTTTCTATGTGGGGTTGTTTGTTATGCTGGCTCTTTAAGAGTGGACACTCCGTTTCCTTTTGCCCTCCAGCTCTCCCAGAGCTAAGCGCAATGATTATTAAGGTACCTGGAGGGAAGCCCTGCCGACTGTAAAAACTCACAAAGTTAAGCCCCCCCGGTTTTTAAAGCCAAATGATATGGGGACTCGTCTTTTCAGTGCAGGTCACCCCTGTCTGGGGTGCCTGGTGTGGCTGGGTTCTGCTCTTCTCCCTTCTCTGTGCTTGTGGTGTCCCTCCAATTGGTGGTTAGTTTGGTTCTCAACTGTGTCTCTGCCCCTCCTACCCTTTTCAGTGTGGCCTCCCCTCTGCGATTAACTGTGGGATGTCTGTTCTGCCAGTCTTTGGGTTTGTTTTCTGGGTTAGTTGCTCTGCTGTGGCTGTTACGTAGGTATGTCTGTGGGAGGAGGTAAGTTTAGAATCTTCCTATTCTGCCATCTTCCCAGAAGTCCCATATGCCTGTGTTTTTAATCTTAGCAATCTTACTGGAAAAATACAGTCTCTCTGTTGTATTATTTTGCATTTGTTTATACTTTTGTTCACGTTTGACAGTTAAACTTTTTTTGTGTAAATTTTGTCCGTGTCTTGTTCCATTTTTCCATTTTTTTCTTACTGAATTGTAAGAGCTCTTTGATATTATCAAAATTAGTCCTCTGTTTCCATATTACTGCAGATATTTTTTTTCCAGTGTATCACTTGTCTTTTGACTTCATTTCATGCCATATAGGTTTCTGATTTTTATATTGTTAGAGTGATAAATATTTATCCGTATTGCTTCTAGGTTTTGTGTCATGTTTGCAAAGGCCTTTCCTTAGATATTATTCTTAAAAGATCTAGAATGTAAAAAAGGATAATGTTTTAAAACCAAGATTATATGAACAGTGACTGAGCGATGGTTAAATGAAAGAAATTTGTGCAGTGAAACGGTATTATACACTTTGTGTCTTTTAGGTTTTCTCATGCAGTTTTTAAGAGAATTGGCAGAATATCATCAGTCCAAAATGAGCTGTGATATGGAAACTCAGACAAGTTCAGCGTTTCCTAGCAAAGACTCTCTTGGTAACTGTAGCCTTTTTTCAGAATTTTAATTGTTGTTTTCAAATGACAGAAATGACCTGATTTACTATATTACATGCTTGTTCTTGACTGGGAGGGATGCAGCCTGCAGGTGGCGGAGGTGCTCATTTCCTCTGGAATCACTGTGGGAAGGGACCAGAACTGCTCTCCAGTACTGCTCCCTCCCCTCGTGACGGCTAAGGCTGCACTTTCCAAATCTTGGGGGAATCCAAAGGCCCACGTTCTTCCTTGTGTGTTGCATTCAACCTCTCTTAACTGGCAAGTTCTTCCCTATGTCTCATCTAACTTTATTTTACAGCCACTAAGTGAGAAAATCCTAGATGAGTTGCACTGCAGAGAACTAGACAAGTCAGTGGTGTATCATTTCAGTTTATAGTTGAGGAATTGGGGGTCCCCAGAGGAAGAGCAACTTGGAAACATTCTGGGGCAGAACTGATAGTAGAGTCCAAGTTTTCTAAAATTATGTGATTAATCGGTTTTGTGGCCCTTCCCAAGTCTTAAGGAGTAATGGTGCTTTTAACCTTTAAGATGAGCCTATAATTGGTAAAAGCTACACTGTATAACTAGGCCTTTAATTTATTTTGGCATAGGTTTTATTCCATTGGGAACATGGTACATGCTTATTCTAGAACAGTGCTGTCCAATAATATGCGCCACATACGTAATTTTTAACTGCCTAGTGGCCATAGTAAAAAAACAACAAAAAATCCACAGGTGAATTTGTTTTAATATATTTTATTTAACCCAATATGACTAAAATATTCCAACATGTAATCTGTATAAAAAACATGAATGAGATTATTTTAGATAAAATTTCTGTGTTCAGTCCTTGAAATCTGGTGTGTCTTTTACACTTAGAGCCCATTCAGTTCAGATGATCACATTTCATCTACTCAGTGGCCGCATGCGGCTAGAGAGTCCTGTATTGAACAGCACAATTACAGAGCATTTGGAAAATACAGAAAAGTGAATGGAAAATATGTCTAAAATTTTCTAAAGAGATGAACACTGCCAGTACTTCTGCCAGCCTTTTTTCATGTGCATTCTTCTTGGTGGGTGTTGGTGTTCTCCATGGCTGAGATTGTCCTCTAGGTACACATTTGCATGTTGCTGCATGGTTGATTCTGATCCACAGTTGGTTTGAGGGCTGTGGGTCTACTGGAGACAGCACTAGAATGCGAGATAGTCAGTGGACCTGGTCTCAGTCCCAGTTACACCATTACATAGTTGCTTAGCCCTCGAGGACTCAAACTGTAGGGGCCACTTTCCTTCCCTGTAAAGCAGAGGAGTTGAAATACATGATCTTTGGTTTATTTTAAAGTCAGTGTTTTGAACGTGTGAGTCACCGGTAACCAAAGGCCACTTCGTTCTGCCTTGGCATCTAGGGACTAGAAAGAGATGCCAGTGTTTTCTGACTTCTATTGTACGCTTTGCTTTCTTTGCCCCTGACATTTGAGGATGAAAATTTTCTAACATACAAAAAGGTTGAAACAGTTGTACACTGAACACTTGTATACCTAGATACTCCCAGCAAATTTGTGTGATACTTGCTCAAGCACTTGTCTGTCCCATCCATTAATCCGTCTTAATTTTTTGATGTTTCAAAGTCAATTGCAGAGATCCCTACACTTTCCCCTAAGTATACTCTTTGCTTTTGAACAGACCTCTAGCCTCTTGCTCACCTGACCACATTTCTCTGTTCTAACTTCCTGTGTTGTTGTTGTTTTGTTTTTTTTTTAACAGCAGAAAAGCTTCAGCTCATTGATGATCAGTTTGCGGATGCTTACCCTCAGCGTCCCAAGTTAGAATCTTTAGAAATAAAGTTAAATGAATATAAGAGAGAAATAGAACAGCAGCTTCGGGCAGAAATGTGTCAAAAGGTAAGTTGTATCTTGTTGCTGTTAGCAAGAGTGATATTGGTGCTTATCTTTTGATGCCTTAATGTTAGGTATAAGGGGGAAAAAATGGAGACACTTTATTAATGAATGTGATAAACTGTTGCACATGTGATTTTTCTTTCTAATTGATGTCATTTTTTGTGCCTTTTGAATGAATGCTACAGGTACAGTGAATGAGATGAAACTAAAGATGAGTTAAACTAAATATATTTAAGTAGAGCATTAGTGTTAAACCTAGCCATCAAGAGAGAAGTTATTTCTTTAGTATAGTTATTGGTATTTATAGTTATTTGTACTCAATTGGCAGTTGAAGTATTTTAAAGATACCGAAATAGCAAAAGTTAAAATGGAAGAGAAGAGAAAGGCTGAGAGGGAGTTAGCTGAGTTCCGGAACGAATTGGAGCGAGCTTGTCAAGCAAAATCTGAAGCCCTCATTTCTCGGGAAAAGATGGCTCTTGAGAGAATTCAAAAGCACCAAGAGGTAACATTTTACAGTTATTTACCGGGTGTCTGTTTCCTGCAGCTCTTAGTAGATTGGCTCAAGGTCTGAGACTGGGTTGGAACAGTTGGTTAGACAAGACAGAGCGCTACAGGAGTACTAGGGACTGGGGTCAAGAGCACAAATGGAAGGATCGGCCTTGAAAATGATACGCAGACTTCGTTCCTCCGAAACGGCTGGAAGGAAAGAACTGTGAGTGCGAACATCCGTGTGGGGATTGTGAGAAACTCACGCTGAATAAGCTCCATCCTCTTGGGCAGATTTGAGATTTAGGGGGGCAGCTTCTAGAAGAGGATCAGCAGTTGGGGAACGGTTGCGTGGGGGGAGAGGCAGAGCAGTGAACGCCCTGAGACAGACAGGACTGATGGCACTGTGTCGAGGGCCCAGCTGAGACGGGCAGCTTGTGACGGATGTAGACCAGACCAGGCGCTTGGAGGCGATTGTTCTGTTCCAGTTCTTGGGAAGCTTTGTAAGGTTAGCCAGGGTAGAAAGAGGCACCTGGGGAGCGGAGCTTTCTAGAGCTGACTTGGCTTGAGAAAAGCAGCCTGTTTAATTGAAGACACTGGGGCTCGGTGGGGTGGTGAAGGAAGCCAGAGGGCAAGATGGGTGGCTACCAGCCCAGGGGAGAAGGGAAGGCCCTGGGGCAGAGTCCGAGGCCTCGAGGGCTAGGTCTGGGGCTACCGACAGGTGGAAGGGTAAGCATGGGCCAACGGGATAGGGTTGCAGGCGGAGGTGTCACGTGAAGACCGGCAACAAAACGCAGTGTGCTGCCATTGTGTCAAGTTCAAGGTACCCGGAGGAGCGGAGTCCAGGCCTGCAGAGGTCAGTCAGGTGGCCATCTGATCTTCTCTCACGGAGGGTGACTGGACGGGAGGTGGAAAGCTTGAGGTGTGGCAGGAGGCGTGGGGTCCACTCTTGTAGAAGAATCCAGTTCCTTTCCCAAGGGGCTATCTTTGACCGGCCTGGGTTGGGACCACTGTTCCCCGTGTCCGGCCAGAGCTGCTGCCGTCGGGAGCTCTTGCTCGGGACTTCTCCGTCAGACCCAGTCGTTTCATGCTGGTTGCGTCCCCTGTACGGTTTTGTTTACCATTTCTGGTGATTGGGCTCCTGTAAAAATAAATTGGGGAAGCACTGTCTTTGAGATGATTGCATTATGTTTAGATGAACAACTGCATCCTCAAGATCGGTGACTAATTCAGACTAATCAGTTACCAGACCAGAATACTCATTCATTCATTCATTCATTCATTTATTTTAAAGATTTTATTTATTTATTTGACATAGACAGAGTGAGCACAAGCAGGGGGAGTGGCAGGCAGAGGCAGAGGGAGAAGCAGACTCCCCACGGAGCAGGGGGAGCCCGATGTGGGACTCAATCCCAGGACTCCGGGATCATGACCCGAGCCGAAGGCAGTCGCTTAACCAACTGAGCCACCCAGGCGCCCCCAGAATACTCATTTAGTTAACTGATTCTCTGAAGGCTCTGGACAAGAGGGCCCTCCTCATGCAAAGCATCGTGTCTTTCTTCCACCACCTGGAATGCCCTTCTCCTTCCGTCCCTGATGAAACTCGCTTGGCGGGTGCCTGGGTGGCTCAGTTGGTTAAGCGACTGCCTTCGGCTCGGGTCATGATCCCGGAGTCCCGAGATCGAGTCCCACATCGGGCTCCCTGCTCAGCGGGAAGCCTGCTTCTCCCTCTGACCCTTTCCCCTCTCATGCTGTTTCTATCTCTCTCTCTCTCTCAAATAAATAAATAAAATCTTTAAAAAAAAAAAAAAAACTCGCTTGGCCTTCAAAATCCAGCTGGAATGTCACCTCCTTGTGATACCTTCTCTGGGCTCCTACTGACAGACTGATTCGCCTGTCGCTCCTGCCACGGAGTCTTTCTGTATTTTGGTTATAAAATCCTCACATCGTAGTCTGATTATTTCTCTCTCCCTGACTGAACTGCAAATTTTGTAAAGGTGAGACCTGTATCTGCATCCTTCTCTGTCCAGCTCCGAGTGTGCTGTTTGACATAGGCTAGGTATTCCATGAAGCCTTGCTCGGCAGACACACAGATGGAGGTGTGGCCCATTCAGCTTGCCGCTGCTGAGCCAGAACGGGAACTGAAACTTGCCGGCAGCAACAGCAGCAGGGGAATTCTGTTCTTTTGACGTTTTATTGCTAAACACCCATTTTGTCATTTTTTTCTTGCTGAAGCACTCATCCAAATTTTAAGCGTCTGAGAGATGTTACGTAGAATAAATAGACCAGGGATGTTAGGAATACAGGATAATGGAGTTTCACAGTCATTGAAGGAGGGAACATGTGTTTGGGTAAGGAATTAGGCAAAAAAGCATACCTCGAATTGAAACCTCTTAAGAGAAAGGGAAATTGTAACCCTAAGTGTCTGGAGTTTGTTTTCCGGAATTTAGGAAGCAGTATGTTCAGATCTGTTTTATTTTCTTTAGCTTGCTTACTAAAAATTAAAGCTTTCATACACAGATGGAAACCAAAGAAATTTATGCTCAGAGGCAGCTTCTACTAAAAGATATAGATTTGCTAAGAGGCAGAGAAGCCGAGCTGAAGCAACGGATCGAAGCTTTTGAATTGTGAGTAATGTGTATTCGTTTCGGATATTCAGAATGAATGAGATTTAAAAGAACTAAATAGGTGTCTTAATAGTCTGATGCTAATTGCCAAGTAGAGTTTTTAGTTGTTAAAGTGACAACACCTGGTTTTAAAAGGCACAGATTAAGAGAAACAAAAACTAGGGTTTCATTTATGAAATACTAGACATTAGGGTGAAAAGCAGAATGAGACACCATCATTGGGCTATAGTAAGACCAGATAGATGATTTGAAGAAGCTAATAATGCTTTGACAAATCCTGTGTTTCTCATTTACGTTCCGTTCAGATCTAATAGTTTCACATGCACATAGCAACTGAACTCCAGATACCCAGACCTTCCATGTTTACTTGCTCTACTGTAAAAAAAAAAAAAAAAAAAAGGAAATATGGTGGCTCTGACTTGACTTGTACTGGGTGAAACTATTTCTCTTGGTGTGTGTGTTACTTTTTCTAAGTGCTCACAGATGTATCAACCTTCAAATTTTACCTGGGATTAATACCAAGCTCACCAGTCTGTAGTTGGTGGAATAAGCTTTCTTTCCCATTTGGGATCTTGACATTCATAGATACTCCAGGAATCCGATTTTATTTAAGAGTTTGTCTCCATCTTCATTAATGTTTTTTCATTTTCATAGGCTCTATTCATTTGATTTCTTCTCTCTGCCTACCTTACTCTCCTTTTGGTGATACTGAAGTGGCACATTGATAGAGAAAAGTAAAGGGGCAAAATTTGGGCAGATTCTCGGTTACATAATCATGATTATATAATCACTTCCTTACCTCCACGTCCCGGACTCCTCCCGTCTAACTATATTAAACTAAAATAAATGGATTTAATGCTCCTTTGCTTTACAGATTAGCCAGCAGAGGGAGCTCTAACACAAAGCGTTTATCCTTTGCTTGAAACAGACCATGTTCATAGCACTCCTCACTGCGGTTTGGTCTAAGTACTTGTGAACCTGACTCCCGGCTCCAGAATTGGTTTTGTGGGTGATTGGGGGGGGTCTCTCCATGAAAAGCACTCCATTCTCCGGATTTGGAGGTTCCGAAGGACCCATCTATCGTTTGCTCTCTCTCGTCACTCTTTTCAACATGCATTCAATGGATTATTAAATGCCAAAAATGAATCTTCTACCTATAATTCTTATGGGCTCATCAGTTAAGTCTCACAATTAGAAGTAATACTCTAGAAGAAACAAGCATTTAAGTGCACTAGAGTTTGGTTTGTAGCTTTGTAACTAAAAACATCACTTTTTCATCCCCAAATTGATGATAGCCATTGATCCCCTGTAACCCTTTTTTGAGTGTGGATCCTCTTCTGTAAGAGACCACTTTGGTCTTGGTACATTCACACTCCCCTTAGGTGCCACCGGATAATTCCATCTGCTAGTTGATGAACTAAGTCAGCTCATAAAATAGATGGAGGAACTGAAACACGGGCTATTTTTTACCCCCTAAATTTGTTACTTCAGATGTTGTGGTTTTCTTATTTGCTTTCTCTCTTTTTGCTAATTTCAGGACTCAGAGGCTGCAAGAGGAAAAAAATAAAAGCCTAACTGACACACTTAGGAAGCGGGAATTGAATATAAAGAGCATTGAGGAGAGCTATGACCAGAAGCTCAAGAATGAACTTCTCAAGTAATTGCATGGCATTGCTAAAGGAATCCCGTGTTTCATTAAGTTGCTAGAAGCACAGCAACACTGATGAAATAGATAAGACGGACAGTTTTTTTTTGGGGGGGGGAGATAAGATGGACAATTTATGGCAAAATTTGGTGTTTAAAAAAAATACAGGTTTTCATTGGTAGTCAAGGCTTTCCCATGAATATTTAAGATGGGTTTAAAAAGATGCAGAGAATAGCATCCTCTGCTCATTCTTACTCATAGCTTCTCTGACACTGAGAGCTTATGGTTTGCTTCAGTTTTTAGGGCACCTTAGGACTTGCTCAGTTTGCACAGCTGAGCAGCTGAAAAGTCAGAAGTACAACCACTTTCCTCCCTTCTCTCCTCATACTGGCATGAAGATGGGGATAGGCCACAGTTTCTCCAGTGGTGGTCTTATCGGTGACAGGGTTCGTCACTGAACGTGTGCCCTGGTATTCCTTCAAGGTTCTGCCAAGCCCGAATCCAGAAAAAGGATTAGCTATAGGAAGCAAAACACAGCATAGGAGAGGAGAATATGGATAAGTGTGGTCCCTGGGGCTTTCCTATAGCCTGAGTTTTGTATCTTGGTGAATAATCTCTTCGTGCAAAGACATTAAGCCCATATGGTAACTCCCTCCCATGCGTGGCACGCCATCTGGCACATAGCAAGTGCTCAGTTAATACTGACTAAGTGCATGTGTAGTGAAGCGATGACTGTGCTCAGCTCCTCTGGGCAGGTTCTAGTCATTGGCCTCATTTTTATTGCCTTGCTCATAATTTGTCATTGGTATTCCATTACATAGTACGCACCGAGGTTTCTGGAAGTTATTCTTTAAAAGAATTCTGTCAAAAAAGGTAGCATCTTTTCATTGTATCAGTTTTGAAATGATGGATTTGATCTACCTATTTTATGTCTGCTCCTCTACCATACTAGCGAACACTGAAGTAACCCTAGTTGTTAAACACGTTTTTCTTCCTTTATTCCTTACAGTTTGTTAACTTCACCTAGCCATGGATATAGTGAACTGTTTGGTATCATTTGTCCGGCTTTGGGTGTCCTTCTATGTCTTTAGCCAAGTGTTGAAGTTGGGAGGATATCACAGGATTGCTTCTCCTTCCTTTTTCTGGCCTCTGAACCAGAAAGTCAGCTGGTAGCAGCTGGTGGAGATGGCTGAAGCCCCGAGAGATGTGCCTTTGGGTATTGCTAATTCAGGTCTAATGCTCGTGGCAGTTGGCTCTCAATGCCGTGCTCAGCCTTTAAGGGCAAAAGTTCTTATCTTAGGGAGGGGAGACGGATAGGTGAATTGCAAGTGACTGACTTGGTTATCATTTGGGATTTAGAGTCTGTCACGCACACTGTAAGTTGGCCTTAATTTACTACCTTGTGTCAGTCGAGACCAACTGAGAAATAATTGTTCTCTCTAACCTCACAACAACAACAGGACCCTTGATCTTGTGTGACTGAGTTTTGGGACCAAATTGACAGGATCACAGCAGGGTGTTATGGACCTTTTATGTTCAGAATTCATATCCCTGGCTTTTGTCTTGAGAGAGCTTGAGGCTTACATGTTGTCACTTTCAGTGCCCTTAGGTGCCCCAGCGCCACAGATAAGCTCATGTATTGATGGTAATCTGTCCAGGAAAGCGACAAGGAGCTCATTTTTGGTTCTTCTGATTGGCAGGTATCAACTTGAACTAAAGGATGACTATATCACCAGAACGAACAGGCTGATTGAAGATGAAAGGAAGAATAAAGGTGACTCTGGGGGCAAGCTGTGTTTTTCAGCACTGATGTAGGCTGTTAGCTTCCTAGTTGGGCCTGTTCTGTGTTCTAAAAAAAGACATAGCATACACATCCTTGTTACTACGAAAATTACATGTTTTTTGTTATTTTAATTTTACAAAATAAAAAAATACTGTCTTACTACATTTTTGTGAACCTTAGTGTTTAACCTTTTGTATATTCACAAGGGTTAGTGATTTATCAGCAGGATTTTTATCCAACTTTATTTCAATGTATTTTGATAAATGTGATTGTCAAGAAGGTGGCAGCAACTTATTGCCATCCCGTAAATATCACTCTTAACTGTGAGAGACTTCATTTTTTCCTAATGAAAATTTTAACTTCTCCGTCCCTGTGATCTAGTTTCTTATTTCTTTTACTTCTAATGTATTTTTATGCTTCATGCTATTTCCCCTTGACCTATAACCTCTTAAATTCTTGTATACATTAGCCAGAAACTAGGAAAGTTGGATAATTTTTCATTCTTTGAGATATTTTACATTTTAATATACGTCTAGGAACTTGTCGATGACAAGAAGTTAAACTTTTAGTGGCCATTTTAAATGGACTCTTAGGAGGACACCAGGGCTAGGTACTTGATACCGCCCAGCCAGGTCGCCCATTGTGGGCGCAACTGTCTTGTGAAGGTGAATGCTTATATAGGTATCCGTACCATCGTGGATTCAGCAAAGTATCCACGATGAGGTATATATGGTGAGGTATCTATATAGACTTGTGTTAGATGAAGTAAAAATGATAAAATAATAACTACAGAATCACAACAGACAACTAAATCTCTGCATTCGAGGAAATTCAGACCTGTTGGCATGAGGGCCCTGTGCTCTGAGCAGATGGTGTAAGTGGTAAAGATGTGTGTAGCAGGAGGAAGTTCGCCACATATTTAACCCTTAAAACTAACGTCCCGTCCGTCACCTGTTGTGTAACAGGGCTCATTTCGTACTTGCCTGCTGATTTTTTTTGACTCTGACATCTGCTGTTTAGATAATGAAATAATAGTCATTAGGGCTGATCTACGCCCATAAATTATTAAATGATTTTGTATCCACTAGGAAAACATGATGATGATAATTGGTTGGCTCTTTCTTTCAGAAAAAGCTATACATTTGCAAGAGGAGCTCACAGCTATTAATTCAAAAAAGGAAGAATTTAATCATTCAGTAAATCGTGTCAAAGAGCTTGAGGTAATTGTTAAGCCTGTTGTTTTGAAACAGACGTTAAGACGATATATGAAACCTCAGTTTTAGTCATACGTAATTTATCTTCAGTTATCCTCTTGATGTGTTTGTTTATTCCATGACTAAGAAGGTGATGGCTGCACTTTGTTCATTCGCGAGTTCTTCACTTCAATCTTAGTCTCCTAGGGAAGCATAAAAGGATGTCTTTTGGGGCCTAGAGTCCTGCCTGAATCCTGTCTTTCTCCCTTTCTGCTTATGTGCCTTTGGGCAAGTTCTCTGACCTCAGATTCCTTACCAGTAGACTTTGAGATGTTGCCTACATTCCATGATTGTGCAGGGAATTCAGTGAGCGGATTGATGTGCGTAGCACGCAGCTGACACAGACTAGCTTCTACCTCAGCCTCCTCTCCCTTCCTGTCAGCAGCAGGTAAAAATTCCTGTCATGATGTCGGGATCTTACAGCTTAAAACAAAATGAGATGCATTTTTCGTGTGCCACTGTTAACTTTATTTCTATTACTTTGTGTGTTTGCTATCTGAAGGACAGAACTGGAACTTTAGGTACTTAAAATAAATTTTATACACAGAACATATTTTTGTAGCTGTAAGGACTTGAGAGCTTTGCAGGCTGCAAACTTGAGCTCTGTTATACTAAGAAAAGAAATCACCCCACAGCGTGTTAGGATATCTTACCTTTTTATTACAAAAAAAAAAAAAAAGTGTGTGTAGATCTGTCTATATATATATATGTATTTATATATTGCCACCATCTGTGGTTACATTGTTGGGCCCTTAGTTGCATCCAGAAAATGGGGTGATTGTCAGAAGCACTAGCTTTGCAGGACAGGGTTGTACACAGTAGCAGTTGGATGAACTTGCCCCTGCCCCAAATCAAGGGCAAAAGATGACTTGTACTGCGGGAGTTAGGGTCTTGTTGCAGAGAACCAGACTTCTGTCATGGGGCCTTAATTCAGTCATGATGTCCAGCTCGGGGCGTGAAAGCCTGGCAGCTTTCACTTAAGCAGTCCTGTAAAGTCACTGTTCAAATACAAGTTTTTCTGTTTCAATTGCAGCTTGAGTTAGAATCTGTCAGAGCCCAGTCTTTGGCAATAACAAAGCAAAACCATCTGCTGAATGAAAAGGTGAAAGAGATGAGTGACTATTCGCTACTGAAAGAAGGGAAACTGGAGCTTCAGGCACAAAATAAATTACTTAACCAACAACTGGAAGAGACTAGAAATGAAAACTTGCGTCTCCTAAACCGTAGGTGTTTTTTTCTGATTGGCATGGCTTTGTAACTGCTATTAGCTTAGTACTCTGAAACTGCTTTGTCCTATAAGGGAAGCTTCAATCGGGAAGATTTTATAACATTAAGATTCTCGAATCAAAGGTACTTTGTTTTTGCTTCCTGCTGCGTAATTGTGTCACTAAGGAGAAAACTTTATTAACTGGATAAATCTGTCCCTCTGGATGGTACCCGGCTCCCCTTGCCCTCTGACTCCTCTGGCCTGGTGGTGCTTGGCCCGTGGGGACCCGCTCAAGCGCTTGGAGGGAGGGAAGAGTGAGGTCAAGGTGATTGTGATCCCTTCTCCATCTCCTCCTTGCGGAGTAGCCCTGGGCTGGCCCTGGGCCTCAGGAAAGCAAGATCCCAGTACCTGGGGGCTGGCGCCTCATCAGCGCCCTGTGCCTGCTCGCTCTCCCCAACTCTGGGAATGCCTCCCTTCCTGACCCTCCAGGCGTGAGGACTGGTAACAGCTTGGCCCCAGTACTAGCCCAGGGAACTATACCGTCCTTTGCGGTACCCTGTGGAAGTCTCTCTTTATTAAAGGGTCTTCTGATGACCCAAACTGGGGACACCATCTGCTTGCTTTCTGGACCCTGCGTGCCACTGACAGATTCAGAGGTCGGATTGGACCTAGGGGCAGTCCCTGGCAGGCTTTGACAGAGCATTCTTTCTGTGCCTCTGTGCGTAGTAGAGGAGAGGCGGGCATTCACGTTAATTTGAGGATTTGAAAGAATTCTACTGGGAGTAGAACTCTGAAGAGTGGTAAAGTTTGCAATTATGTGCATTAAATTCTTTTGTTCTGAAATTGGTGATTCAGGACTGGTCTTAGTCCATTCAATAAAACTGATATTAATTGCGTGCATACAAAGAAAGGAAAGAACCATCTAAAGCCTCTTTAGAAACTGTTTTTGTTAAGTAAAATGAGAAAACTTCAGGTTGGTAATGACCAGGCTTTTTTACCTTCATAGATATAGCTCAGCCATCTCCTGAGCTGGTGGTTTTTCAGAAAGAACTAAAGAAAGCCGAACATGCCATCGCATTTGAGCATAAGGAGTTCGAAAGCCACAGGCAGGCTCTGCAAAAACAGCTGCAAAGTGAAGTGAGTATTGCTCTTGGCTCATCCAAGTGTTAGGGCAGTGCACTTTGTGGGTGTGTAAAATTGGCATGTGTCATACCAGCATAAATCAGATCTATTTTAACATCAGAAATTCCCCCATATGCTAATTACTTTCCTAGTATTCTTTCTCATCTGAGAAAATTCTCGAGTGATTGTGACATTATATTCATGATAGTAAGAAAATCAAGAGGAAAGTAAACTCAAACACCCAGTTTTCCAAGTCTTGGTAGTAGTGCCCACTGTTAAAAGTATCTCTTGATTCTCACCCCGCAACTTAACGGTATTGATGCTCTCTTTCTCATGTGAACCTCCCATCCTGGAGTAGCTGCTGTATGAAAGGAGTAAAGAAGGAGCTGGAGAACTTGTTAGTGTGTTCTGTTGTTTCATAGGTATAAAGCTGCTCAGAATTGGCAAAAAAGAGAAAGAGAATAAGCCAGGTGAGAGAATTGTTCTTTTGAAATAAACTGATTTGTTTTACTTTCATTTCTTTTCCTTCCCTAAATCTTTTCAGATTGAACATTCTGCACAGCTGAAGGCCCAGATACTTGATAACGATAACTCTATAAAGAGGTTAACTCTACAGGTTGCCGATTTGAAATTGCAACTGAAACAAACCCGGACAGGTTGGAGACGTTTTTAACGTGCGTGTGTGTGTGTGTGTGTGTGTGTGTGTGTGTGTGTGTGTGTGTGTGTG